TCTCTCTCTCTCTCTCTCTCTCTCTCTCTCTCTCTCTCTCTCTCACGGACTTATCATCCTCCGAGAAATCTCCCGTACGCGCGAGAAGAAAGTCAGAGAGAAGGATCCGAATAAAAAAAAAGAAAAGAAAAGAAACAACGAGGACGGGAGGAAAAAGAAGAAGGAACGAGAAGGGAGTTGTGGGGAGGGGAGGAGGAGGAGGAGACGAGAAATCGGGGAAATGAGAAATCGTCGTGGACGGGCCACTCACCACGAATGCCCTCATGTTTGCTGCTGTTCCTTGATTTGAGGACTGATGCTTCGCGAATGTCTTGTAGCCCCCTTTTATACGGGCCAGGCATGCGGAGGCCCCACTCGATGCCTCGACCCATCACCTATGACCAGGGTTGCGTAAGTATTATACTCGATGTAATTCTGTAAATTCGTAATTTATTGCATATATGCCCCGCAGCGTTCGCAATCTACTACCAATACTATCGTTCTCCTCTCACTTTAACCCTTTGGACCAACGACTTAACGTCTCTTTCCGAAAGACGGAGCCCAGTTTTTCTCCGTACAAGAGCCTATCTTGCACGGAGGGGCGCAGCTATCGGAAAAACATTCCATGCTTCATGGCTCTAGTGAACTCGAAACTGGTTCCTCAGATTACGAGTCTGGCGCTCTACCACTCAGCAAACACAGAATACACTTATTATAGTAAGCAATTTGATAGCAAATTGTCGCCAAAATGGCATCAAATTCGTTCAAAGATACGAATTTGATGCTATCTTGGCGACAATTTACTATCAAATTGCTTACTGGGTGTATTCTGTGTTTGCTGGGCACTAAACCACACTGCCGCCCCTTATACTCGATGTATTGTACATGGTTTCTTCCATGTATTATACATGGTATAATACGTCATAGGATTGGGTAAGTATTATACTCAATTACTACGTTTACGCGAGCGTTACTTCTGTAGTAACTTATGATAATTCACCCGTTTACGCGGAGTAAATTATCGTAAGTTATACTACAAAATCCTGTTTACGCAAAGAAAAATCCCGTTTACGCGAAGGAATTATCGTAAGTTACTTCAGAAGTAACACTCGCGTAAACGTGGTAAATGTATTATACGTGGTTTCTTCCATGTCGTGAGTTCAATCATGTATTATACGTATGATGTGGCGCCACTATAGATTACCCGATTGATAAATTGATAATAGATCCTGTTCTTTTTAGTTGAACTTTATGCACGGTAACCATATTTCAATTACGAAGAAGTTAAAGAAGTTAATTTTATTATTACCTTCGAAAATATGAATCGCGGAGGTAAGCCGTGCTATAAATATTGGGAGGAGGGAAATTTTGAAAAATATTACGAAGGCCAAAAACTGTTTGCATATTGCAATTATTGCAAAAGAATTAGGTAAATATGCATAATAGGGAACCTAACCCCAATGACCTTGACCTTGACATATGTTGTCAAGGTCACCCTCCTGAGTGATCTTTAGAAGGTTTTAGCCGTCGCTCGTTATTCGTTAAAAAGTTATTAACAAAAAAAAGTTTGGAAAATATAGCATATATAGGTGCATACATTAGCGCGTCAACTAACCTATATGTAGGTTACAACTTTTGTATAAAACGTTTTTTCCTAAAATGTCTTGTTTTCGAGATATTTCACCGGTTCCGGACTTTTTCCCCACCCGGTATATGTCGAAATAGGTCACGCATATACTTTCCACGCGAGACGAGTTTTCACATGATTAATTGTCGTCGGGCTGAAGCCGGGAACGCTAATGCTGAAACGGAACACAGAGAGAATTTTCTCTTAGAATTTACTATGAAAATCATGGTATTTGTGGGACGACATGTATGAAGAATTTTATGCGAGCTATTCTGATTAATATATCTACCATAATAAAAAATATTAATATCTATTACAATAAAATGTAAAATATGTTTGATTAATTTTACTGAAATATATAGTAAAATTTCAATAATTTTTCAAAAATTACCAATCTGCTTGGTAATTTTTATTAAGTTCTTTGTAAAATATCTTTTGTACAATATATTTCAAAAATTTCTCAGTTGCCAAGTTGTCCCAAGTTTGTAGTGAATTTAACGGTAAAATATGACGAAAAATTCTCTCCGTGCAGAGATTTTTATTGCCGCGATTCTTTTCGTACCTCGTGCACGTACACGTGTTCGGATAAGCAGATGACGAGAGTACACACGGTATAATGACACGCAACAATACGAAACACGCGAATAATGCGAGCGTGGATCTTGCGCAGGGTAGTTAAATCTTACACTTAAGTGCAGCTACGCGTTTCAGAAAATGTGAGTGAGAGCCGAGGGCAGGCTGAATCGCAAAAACCTCTGTTTTGTATGACTCGAAACGTGGATTTGTAAAGCGATGATGATGACTGATATGCACGCCGGCCTATTCAGGCCCGTGGGAAAAATTGAAATTGAGTTTTACGCCGGTGCGTAGGCCCATTATCGTGCGTATCGCATGTTTAAAAAGCGTGATTTTCGCGCTTTTGTAGAAAGCGTAACTGGTAACCGCTTGTGGCATCTCCACGAGACGCTCGACTGAACAAATTTTGCTCTATTACGTCATACTGAGATGTGCTAACTTGAAAAATATTTATGCAATACTCTAATTCATAAATGCTGCGATATATATGAAAATCTTCGAGCTTAATGCGAACTTTGTTTCATAAGAGCTTATAAAAACGTTGCTATCGATGAAGAGGTCAATCTTTCCTCGTAAAAATCTATAATTGGAATTTACAATAATAAGCTTGAATTTATTTTTCTCATTTTTATTTATTTATTTATTTATTTATTATGATCGATTTCGATCGAACAATTAAGCGACGAGAATCCATCCAATTTCATTTTCGATTCGTCAATTTTCGAGGCTTCTGTCACACGTAAAAATCTGCATAAACGTTTATCTCGTTTTTTTTTCTCTTAACTGAAACGCGAACGTTTCACGGTTGACTAATTGTAAGTACTTAAGAGGATGCTGGAGACAGGTCTGTTTTACCGCGATATTTTCAGACACACAAATCTTTTGATTGATTTCACCAAATTAAAATTTTTGTCCAGAATTAAAGTATAGACGATAACGAAGACTGCAGGCACCAATTGCGTATAAAAAACGAAAGGACATTAGACAATTAGTTTTATTTTCGATTCTGCGGTCGACTCATGACAACATTTGCTGCACATAAAAGTTTTAGACTGTGTACGTATACAAAAACCTTGCAGCAGTCACGGAAATACAATAAAGAAGAATCCTGTGCTTGCAGAAATGAGCTGCGAGCTTTAGTATAAGGTATAAGAGAAAAGTGTGTTTGATAATTTCATATGCATATGTTACGCTTCTCCTCGAATTCAGCCAAAAACATATGGATCAGTATAACGGGTAGCCCTAGAGCAGGCGCTCTGTATGTATGTGTAAGAATCGGTGAGCACTTCTTTATCGACGCTGATCGAGTTCGCCTGCGCTCGGAATGGAATTGGCTGCTTCCGCGATCCGCCGAGAAACGGGCAGGAAGAGAAAATAACTTAAAAAATTTCGATTGCACGTTCGAGGTCCATCTTTCCTGCCCCCCCTTCTCCTCCTCAGTTAACATAGATATAGACGAAGAGAGGCTACGGTTTCGATGAACGATTCAAGAATGACATAATAACGAAACTGACACACGCCTCCGCGCAGGTTCTACTCTTCTTCTGGCAGCCTCGACACGTAAACGCTGTATCTTCGGCTCTTCATTTCAACGGCTGTTTAAGTCAAACGAAAATAAAATAAAAATTCGAGAAAGTTCAGTCGCACGCGTTGTGGGATTCCACGATTTTATCTTGTTCGTAAACACGATTAATAATCGTCAAAATTAATTATGTCTACAGTTCGCATACTTAATATGTAATAAAATAATATAATTAAACAACTAAGAGAGAGAGAGAGAGAGAGAGAGAGAGAACCAGAAAAAAAACGTCAACTTAAAATAATGACCAAGCGGGAGAGATTTCGGTCATAATGCTATAAACAATAACAACTTCTTTCCTTTACAGATAGTTGTCTGTCAAAATTCGGCGAGTAGTGAAAGCATGGTTCGGGGAGTTCTTTTACATGAAATAATGATTCATAT